AGAAGAAGAAGAAGAAGAAGAAGAAGAAGAACAAGAACAAGAACAAGAACAAGAAGAACAACAAGAAGAACAACAACAACAACAACAAAATCCGCGACAAACAAACAAACAAATAAACAAACACTCAACCACAAATTTTTCCATTCACAATTCACAGAAGCTGCGCCTTCAGTCCATGCCCAACCGCTACTGGGGTCCGGCTCTGGTCAAGCACCGACGTCTGATCGACTACGTGGACGACTTCGTGGTGGACCCAGAGGGGGACAAGAAGAGGCTGGCCTACGTGAACCAGGGCTACTCGGATTACAGCGCCGCCACCTCTTACACGCTAGACGATAGGGCATCAGTGGGCACACGGGTACGTATGGCAGGGGTCGAAACCCGCCTCTTAAGTCATCTAAATTGTGAGGCAGCGAGGTGGAATCAGGCTCTCGTCAATTTTTGGGCATGTAGAGTTATTGGTATCATCTTAAAGCTTGTTCACTTGTCTTTATTTGGATGAAAAAGTATCCATTTATCTTGAATACAAGTCGAGATATTTGCGAATGAAGGTGGCAGTCATCGGTTTTCAATAGGTAAAATTTGTGGGGAAATGGCCTCCAAAGATTAGCTATTTCCTTAATTAAGAGTCCGTTGTAACTGAAAGTTTACATTTTTTGTGCCTTTAATCAACGTTTTTATTAAAAATCCACACATAAATGAGTTCTTTAATGGGCATGAACAGTGTTGAGCCGAAAAACAAAAATTTGATAAAAATTCACAAACCTGCGGAAAAATGCAGGTTTCTTCACTTTGATTATTTTGACGAGAGCTTGATTCCACCACGATGCCTCACAATTGTGTTGATGGAGGCGTAGGAAGCATAAAAGCACTTGCCTTTTTAAAAAAAAAAATTTTAAGTCCTGATTGATTCTAGAAAGGGTAAGTGAACTCTCTGCTGTGACCTGCTTTGTCTTCTTTATTCTTTGTTATTTACTATTGTGCTGGCGTCTCCTGTCTGTTGCCATGGCAACTTGCCTGTCATCGTGGTGAAATCAGGTTCTTGTAACGGATGGTGAGAGGGTGCTACTGGTAAATCCTGCTTTTTTTCTTTCCTTCTGATGTTTCCGTCTATCTGTCTTGCTCCGTCCCTGCATTACACGACCGTTCTTGTGTCGATTTGCTTCTCTTTACTCAAACCCAAAAACCCTAACAGGCTCTGGTCAAAGGAAGAAATCGAAGAAACTGGTATTTTTTTCGACCGTTAACAATTTCTTTCTTCTTTTTTTTTGGTCTCTTTTCCTCAGCACTTTTATGTCCATTTAAATTCTAAAGACTATAATTATTTCTGATTAACTTCACTGTAAAACTTTGATGAAAGTCACCCCCCAAAAATAACGTTGCCATTTCCAAGGACACTGCAGCTTTGGAAGTCATCAAACGTTGCGGCTGATTTCTCACTTTGATTCCAGGATAGCTAGGTATCTTTTTTTTCATCTAAAGCAAATGGCAACGTTATTTTTTGGGGAGAACTGCAATGGCTAAGGCTAGTTTCAATAAAATGAGCCCAATCCTGAAAAATAGAAACATGTCAATGAACACCAAAATGAAAGTCCTGAAATGCTATGTTTGGTCAACCCTTCTATATGGCTGTGAATGCTGGACAATCACTAAAGACAGTGAAAATAAAATAGAGGCAAAAGAAATGTGGTTTCTTAGGAGACTGCTAAGAGTATCGTGGAAGGAAAAGAAATCAAATGAAGTAGTGCTTGATGAAGCCCACGTGGGACGCTCAATGTTAAAAACAATCAAGAAACGACAAATGCAGTTTTTGGGACACCTGAATAGACATAAGGGTCTTGAACTTCTAGCTCTCACTGGCAAAATTGAGGGCAAGCGAGACAAGGGTAGGCCCAGAACAACATACTTAGGGAACCTAAACAAATGGGTAACAGGGAAAAATCAGGGAAACGTAGCTTTTCTGAGAGCATCCGAGCAAAGGAATGAATGGAAAATCATGATCGCCGATGTCTGTCGCAGATCTGGCACTGGATGATGATGATGAAAGCAAGACAAATGAACAAGCTTTAAGAGGATACCAATAGCTCTTTGTGCCCAAAAGTTGACGAGAGCCTGAAAGTGTCGTGTCGTGACACGTCAGTTATTGTTGTCCTAATCTCTCCTGCCGTCACCATGGCAACCACAGCTCATTCAAGTACATGTAGGTGGCTTGGTCTCCAGGCAGGGCACTCCAGAATTGAAATAGTAATTGAGGGAGACGGGAATGTGGGACGGGGGGGGGGGCGGTGAGAGAGAGAAGGAGAGGAAAGAGTGAGAAGTGGATGTGGGGTGGGGGTAGAGAGTTAAAGGAGAGAGAGAGAGAAAGAAATGGGATAAGAGAAGGAAGTGAGGAGAGTGAGAGATGTGTGTGTGGGGGATGGAGGGGGGGGGGACCGGGGATGTTGAAAACCAAAGAGAGGAATAATTAATTTCTAAGGTCAGGTCAATAACATGTATTCCAGCTTCATTTAAGTAAGCTGGCATAAGACATATCTTTTAAGAATACTGTCATGTTGTCTTCCTTCTTTATTTACATTCTTTGTTTTGTTCTGTTTTTCTTTTTTCTCAGGACATGAGCTTGACGACCATTTCCTTCGACGATGACGTCATGTTCACGTCACGGCTGTCCTTGGAAACGTCACTGTGACAAGTGACGTCACACCGACTCCACCATAAACAGTATTAAGCTGCGTTCACACTATCGGGGTTTACAATACACTTGCCTACCTTAGAATTACAAAGTTCTATCTGCTCACTACCTGGTTTTTGTAATCATGAGATTGCGGGTTCGGGGGTTCGAGCCTCACCTCGGACCGACGTTGTGTCCTTGGGAAAGGCACTTTAAACGAACTTCCCACTTGGCTCGGTCCTGTCGGAGACGGACGTTAAACTAGGAGGTCCCGCCTCTTAAATAACATATTAGTGTTGATAGGGGCGTTAAACCCTTACCATTTCACCATTTTTCTACCTAGTTTTCAGAAATTTGACGTCAACAATTTTGAGTTACACAACGTCATGTCAATCTTTTTCGAATGCACTTCTTTGAATATCGTACGATCTTTATAGAGGAGATGGGAAATTTGGTTATTGACATCTCGGTCTTAGTAACTCAACACAGCCAAAAATGTCAGATAGAACTTGGTAATTCTGAGGAAGTAACTTGTATTGAGATGTCCCAGAAGGGATTACAGTTCATTTTAGTTAAGGAGCGCACCGTTTGACTCAATTTTAGCCATATGAAGAACAGGGGAGGGAAGGGACCGCGCCCACTCGTGTGAAACATTAAATTTACCATCGATGTAGTACGGGTCATTGTCATTCTGAGTATGGGACGCAGCGGAGCATTTTGAAAACTCACACTGCAAGTACCAGCGTCTCTGGTGTAGTGGTTAGGCGCTTTGCTGTCGCACACAAAAGGTCTGAGTTCAATTCCCGAGTAGGGAGGATTTTTATTATATCTCAGTTTTTCTGAACTCAGTATCAATTTCATCCTGGGCAAGCCTGACAGGCAGGGCCGAAACACAGCCCCTAGACTGTCTAAACTGTGTTGAACGGGGTGTAGAAACACCTATTTAAAAAAACAAACGCACTTGAAGCGCACAAATACGGTCTTGAACGTTCTGAAGTTTGGAAACGTGCTTTCCTTAACTTGGAGTGCTATCCCCTCACATAAGCTTTATTTGTTGGCAGGGGTGTTACACCCTACACTTATACATCTATATTATTATATGATCCCGGTGCCTTGATTTTTTTAAGGTAATCCCCCCCCTCCCAACCCTTCTCCCCTTTTTTATCCATATAAAATCTCAAGTCACAACTTGCCAGTTACTTTAAGGTTTTGATATCTTTCATGCTTATGAGATTATATGAATAATTATATTATTATGTGTACCATGTCACGTTCTCTAACTATACGAGGGTGGGCTGAAAAGTAATGGATGTTTCACCATAACTTTTTTATTTTCAATCCTTTTTTGCACAGATGATGCCCCAAAAAAATCTTAGAATCTCCACTGTTTGTTGTTATAACATTGTATGATAGAGGCCATGAAAGAACCATTTATTCACCTGCCATATTTTGCCTGTTATTAACACTATTACGGATCAAGCTGACGCATTATATGTCCGATCTGCAGCAGACAAAACATCAATGTTGTGGCATATTTTGAAGAATCATGCACAAATCAGAAACACGAATTTAAACATTGCAAAGTAATGTATACATGTACTATATATGTTGCTGCTTGCCTTTCAAGTTTCAGGGAAAGAAAACAGAATTGAAATATATGTGTGAATAAGAAAGGTTATGCTTCTTGCTTTAACAAAGTGCCCCAAAAGTGCTGATTCAAATGTTATGCGTTAACGGTCTAGATCTAACAGTTTCAATGTTAACCTCACTAACACTTTTGCTTTCATTCATTCATTCATTGCCTCTCTCACCTTGATATTGGCTGTAGACCGCCAAGGTCTCTCCACCTGTCTCCATTCTGGGCGATCTTCTTCACCTCCAGCCAGTGGTGTCCCAAATGCCTGGGACCTGCTTCTAGATCTCTTTCCCATGTGGATC